ATTCCAGAACACCAGAACAACAGGTCTTTAAGTCTGCTTCTTCCCATTACCCTTTTTTGCTTTCAACTTGGCCAATCTTTGCTTGTTAAGCTGGTTACCAGTAATAGCATTTTTCCCCTTCCATTGCAGTTTCTTTGATGAGAATGGTAGGTTTGATGGCTCACTCGCACCACTGGCATCACCAACAAATCCGATTTCCCTTGTTCCAATTGTTGTACTTTGTAGTTGCCTCAACCGTAGCCTAGTCTTTGCCTCAGAGATACTTCTTGGTCTTATAGCTACTTCAGGCTCAGGCTCAGGCTCAGGCTCAGGCTCAGGATCAGGTCAAAGTATGGGTAGTCAAAGTCTGGAAAGGCACTGCAGCTTGGTTCTTTCCTCTGCGTGGAAGGGGTTGGCATGAACAACATGTTGCTAGATTGACTTGTTTGAGTAGGTTGACTTGGCTGAGGGGTTGACAAAGGAATTTCCTCATCAGTGGCTTCTTGTGGCACTGGTGCAGGAGAGGGAGATCTAGGTTGTTCATCATCAGCTTCATCAAGTAAAGTTTTCTTCCTCTTTGTCTGCTTTCCCTTCTTCTTTCCTCCAGTGGGCTGCTTTCCTTTAGAATGTTGTTAGTAAGACAGAAAGTTTTGATTAGATGTTGAAACAGAAAGAATGATAGAAAAAGTTATGGTATTGATTACCTTTGCACACCCTCTAGCATTGTGTCCAGGTTCACCACAATTGTTACATGTCATTACCCTCCCTTTCCTTGACTGAGACCATTGTCCTTGCCTATTAATTTCCTCATTTTTTTCTCTTGTTCTCTTAACCTTTGGTCTCCCAGTCATCTTTACCAAAGGAGGTGGAGCCATGTATTGTGAAGGGTCAATTTTCCAGAACTTTTCTCCTCTTACTGATTGTAACTTATGTGAATAAATTTAGAGATAAGTCTCTTTGGTAAGGTACCAATGAATCTGACTTAGAGGGTCCACTTTCTTGTGCAATAATGCACAGATTGGATGAGGACTTGGAATGCCACAAAGATCCCATGCCCTGCAGGTACATTTCCTTAATCTCAAATTCACAATGTGCCTGTCACTACTTTCAGTCACCTCATATCCATGGTCTGCACTGCCATTAACATGACACTTCAATGCAATCCTCAAGAATTGGTTGTACAACTCCATGGTTTTAGGACTGTACTCATTTCCCCATGACATCACCTCAGCTTCATGTCCAGTAATCATATTCATCACCTTGATTCTAATATCCTCAAGCATCTTAATGATTGGCTTGTGCCTTGCTTGCAAGATACATGCATTGAATGACTCAGTCAAGTTGTTGTCTACATACTGGTTCTTGCAAACAGTATCAAAGAATGCCCTACTCCAATATTTTGGTGGATACTTCAATAAATCCTCCACAGCTTTCGTTCCATCATCATCTACTTGACTCATATTCTTTATCTGATTTTTGAAGTCATCTTCATAAGTACTCCATGCAGCCCACCAAAGCAATTTTTTACACTCACCAGAACCCCATCTCTTACACCAATTTGCTTCTATATGTCTTACACAAAACCTAAAGTATGACTTTGGAAGAACAATTCGGATTGAGTCAATCAACCCATACAAAAATCAGTAAATAACATCAGATAACAGTACAAAGAAACCAACAAAACAACTGAAAATAACAGTATAAATAAACAGTACATACCTTCTGCATATCTGATATAAATGTGATCCCTTCACCCATTTTGAGGTCTAGTGAAGTCTGTAGGTGACCTAAGAACCACTTCCAAGTAAGTTTTGTTTCTTTGTCAACAATAGCCCAAGCCAATGGATAAAAATGATTGGTAGAATCTTGACCAACAGCCACCAACAACTGACTTTTAGCCTTCCCTTTCAAAAATGTTCCATCCAATCCAATGAAAGGTCTCAAACCACTCTTAAACCCAGACTTCATTGCTTGAAAACAAATATACATCCTTAAAAACCTCCCTTTTCCTTCTTCAAGAGCATCTTATGATAAGTTAATTATCACATCACTCTCAGGATTGCTAAGTTTCAATTCATTGGCATATGCAACAAGCTTATTATATTCACCTGTAAAACTACCTTCAAGTTTCTCCAAAATTATTTTCTTTGTCCTTTTGCACTTAGATTCACTAACATTTACATTAAATGCAGCTTTCAAGCTTGCCCTCATCTCTCTAACCTTAATTTTGGGGTTATCTTGCAAGCCTTTTTTAAAGTAATCAGCTATTTTATTTGCATCAACTTTTTGATTTTCAAATGCATGTTCACATGTGTGCTCAGGCTCTAAAGTCTTGAATTTAACCCCACCCCCTGAAGAATCCTTAGATATATGGCAAACAAAGGGGCAGTCACCAACACAGATGTACCTAAGCCTTGTTGGGTCACTTTTAACTTGCTGCAAGTCATACCCATTTGCAAGAGAATACATGTTGGTCATTTCCTAGCTTTAGGTATATCTTTAAATGTCATTCACCTATCTAACTCTTTATAGTCAGTTAACTTATCATTGATGACCCTCATCTTTTGTAAAAAAAGTTGCTCCAAATCATCAGAACTTAATTCAGGAGAATTAGAATCAGTAGCAGAATCATTTTCCTCACTACAATCAGTAGCAGCTTCAATTTCTACCGTGTGTGACTCACTATGAGTGACTATATTAGGTACATCAATTGCTGGTTCACACTCTTCTACAACAAACAAATTAATAACATTACACTGTTCATTAACAAAGTCCAATAGAGTCCTAATCCCAACATCCCCATCTATTTTATAATATCTACCAGCAGGACCCTTTACTATTAATTGCTGCACCCCTATATACCCAAACTTGGTATCAAATTCATCAACTAAATCAGCATAAAAGAGCAAGTCAGAGTCAAAACCTTTATTGATGTGCACATACTTTTCTTTATACATCAGGCGTGGCTTATTACTCCATTCCCCACCATGATGAAAAACTAACTCAACTAGCACCATCTATAAAAGGCTGCATAATAACCATGAATAAAGTTATTACAGCCTACCATAGTAAATGCATAAAGAAGTAACAAAAACAAGAGGTACAGAAATAATAAATAAACATGTAAGGGAAAGCTTGAATAAACAAAACAGTTTGATAAATAAAGGGAATAAGGAAAAGGTACAGAGGTAGATGAATAAAGAAACAAAATTAAATGAGGTACTATGATAAAGAAACGGACACAAACATGCATATGGGGGACCACATAATAAAGTATCAAACTTAGAGTCCCACCACAATAAAATAAGGACAAAACATATATGTAAGAGACCCACATGAGCATCATCTTCAAAGTAAATGCAGGTGAAACAGGGGACCAAATAACAAGAAGTCAGCTATTAACAAATAGCTCAAATCCTTTTTCACTTAAAAAAACCCTAACCGAACCTTCTTTAAAAAACAAAAGGGACCACACATACTCGAAATCCTAAACAAGAGAAATGTCTTCTAAAATAAGTACCAAATATCATCAATTCCACCAATATACCCTAACCGACCAGTAAAATCAGACAAATAATTAGGGTATAAAGGTGAAAGTCACATGCAAACACAAACAACGACAAAAATCCAGTCAAAGAAATACCCTAAACGACAAATCACATATGTGAGACAAGAAAAACCCTAAACCACGAAGCATAGTCTAAAAACACTAACTTTAACATAAAAGAAATGCGAACCCTAAGACAAAAATGCTTCGTTTATAAACAACAAGCATATGAAACTAGTAGAAAAGTTCAAATTTTGGGGGAAAATCGTACCTTGGATAGCATTAAACACTGAAAAAAGAAGATTTTCTTTTGAACCTTCCACACTCTTCTCTCTCGTTTCTATCGAACGGATGCAGAACAAATGACACTCTTTATTAATTTGGACGGGTCTATCTTATTTATTTAGTGGGCAAACTGGTCACGGGTCACGGGTCACGGGTCACGGGTGGGAGACGAGAATGAAATGGGTGTTGTGGGGTTTTAATTTGGTGGGACCGCTGACATGGGAGCTGACTTGGATAAAATTGATGTGGTCAGCTACCACAGTGTCAAAACGTTAGGGTTAGGGGTATTTTTTCAAACTTCATTAACGGTAGGGACGAGAATGACCAAAAAGTATAACGGGTGGCACAAGCAACCAATAAACAATAGTAGATGGGCGATTTTGACCCTTTTCCCTAAAAATAATACTCCTTCCGTTTCAATTTACTGCTTGTTTGGATAGTTGTTACCCATTGTATTGTATCGTATTGTTACTTTGAATATAATATTTGTTTTGATTGTTACTTAAGTTTTATTGTATCGTACCGTTAAATCCGTCGTTACGTAATGACGAAAAATGTCACTTTATGGAACGACGGATTTAGTGTGATAGCGTCGTTATCTTGCTTTGTTCTCTCATCTTGCCCTTCCTTATTATTAAATAATCATATTTTATCCTTTACCCTACTCTTTTATATAATAATTCTACACTGTATCCTATTTTTTCTTAGTAATATTGCATGTTTATTCTTTATATTGTTGGTGCATGATATCATGAAACGACGACAAACGATACAATCTATCCAAATATTATATTCATCAAACAACACAATACATTACAATACAACACAGTATAATACAATATGATACATTATGAAATGACATATAATAATAATTCAAACAAAAGTGTTAGATGATGTAGTTTAATTTGGCACAAAGTTTAAGAAAAAAAAGGATACTTTTGAAACATGTGGTCCCAAAAGCTTAAGGGGCAAAAGCTTTATAGGACCATAATATTTGTGTGGCTATAAAAATTTCTCATTAATGATATAGTAGGTAAAATAAAAACTTTATAGTTAAATTATTTCTAAATATAGAAATGCATTATTCTTTTTTAAATTGAAGCAAAGATGGTATATTTTTTGGAGCAAACAAAAAAGGAAAATGTGATAAAAACTCATAATCTCCGAAAGTAAGTAAGAAAAGCCACGGGGGCAAACTGTATCCTTTGTGGCATCGCACTACCACTACATAATATACGTACTTCTGTCCCTCTCCGCCTCCTCGCTCAACATCCATCTAGGGTTTGAACAATATGCAACCAGCAAATTCCATGGTTCCACAACCAATGGCGGCGGCTCCGCCACAACAGTACCAACAGCAGCAGCCGCCACAACAGTGGATGGCTCAGCAGCAGCAGCCGACGTCATACCAGGTTCCGCCGCAGCAATCCGGCTATTATTACCAGCAACAACAGCAGCCACAACAAACTCAGTACAACGCGGCGGCAGCGGGGTCGGCGGCTCAACCGACGAGTGCCGATGAAGTCCGGAGCCTGTGGATCGGAGATCTACAGTTTTGGATGGATGAACAATACATCCATAACTGCTTCGCTCATACTGGAGAGGTATACGATATATACCGAAATTTGTCACTAATGTTTGTTTTACGTTCAAGTTCTTTGTTTAAAGAAAAAAATCTCCAAGTTATATTACTAGAAAATAAGTGACAGGAAATCTGTGGACGCCGATATCTAGATATGTTTATGTGTGGCTGCTGAGAATTTGTGTTAAGAATTAGGAGGTGTTAAAGTGGAAAGGCTGGATAATTGTTAGGGAATAAATTATTGAAATAGTTCAATTTTTCCTCCGTCACACTTTTGGTCCGTTTTTACCCTTGATGTTAGCAAATTCTTCATGTAAAAAGTTCCAAATCTCACGGCTCAACTTTTTATTATTGGTTCAAAATTACCCTCAAGTTGGAGCTTCGTAAGGGGTCAAGGGCAAAAAAACGAGACTTTTTTTGATGGCAGGGTAATATTAGACCAAACACGTAAGGGAGGACAAAGTTTCTCAATATTGTATAGTACACGAGCAAATTTGACCCTTCTCCCTGATTTCTGTTATCGAGAATTAGTATATATAGTTGCTTTTGCTTTCATATTAGATGTATTTTGTACCTACTGTTTTAAATCTTAATTCGAGGAAAGTGTTACACTTAAGGTGTAGTTTATATGCATTGAGTTTGTATTATATTTATGGTTAAAGATGTATCGTTCTCCTTATGTGTGTCTGAGAAAAATTAACTTCTCTGGGTAGTGCCTCAATATAACTGTTTTGATGATAAAATTAGCTTGTAGAAAGGTATAATTGAAGAAAATGCTTGGGGTAGGTAGTATAATCAGAACTGCGTAACATACCTCTCCTGCCTTAAGCGTGTATTGTGTGGGGTCTGTAGAATTTGGTCTCAATTAAGTCAATGCTCAGATAAGATATTCAATCTACTTTGAGTGCTATGGCTGAAACATGGTTCTGGCTTGAGCACATATGCACTAAAGTCTATAGGCCATTGGCTGTGATCTCAATTTTTCTAGAAAGTCAGTCCATAGGTTTTAGGGAGTTTGCAAGATGTTAGGCAGTTATTCTGAAACTTAGAATTTATTTCTTACATATTGGAGCATTTCAGTGAATGTCAGCAGTGTGTGCGAGTGGCTGTGAGAAGGGAGCCGATACTTCCATAAACTATTCTATTGTTTTCTTTTAAATCTGTTTTTGACTATTACAATTTGACAACCACACATTTGGTTTGGTGTGGAATGCCATGCTCAGTGTTATCAAAGGCGAAAGGTGCAAAAAAGCTCTAAGGTCCTTTGGAGCTTTAAGCGCAAATAAAGTGTGGGCTTTAATGAAGAAAGGCGCAAATGAAGGAAAATACAAATATGTGTGTGTAGTTCAAGACTAACATAAGCATAAATAACTAATTTATGTTGACAAAGAAATTGAAAAAAAAAACTATGATAAAGTGAAATATCAATTTTTTAGTGTCGCCTCTTCAAAATTACGCTCATTGGCAAGGAAAAGTATGCCTTAGAGCCTTGATGACGACATTGAAGCCCCCGCTAAGCAGGGCGAAGCGCTCAACATGTTTTGCGCCTATCTTCAGTGCACTTTAAGCGCTCCTTTGACAACACTGGCCATGCTTAGCAAATCAGGGGTGATTACTGATTAGTGGAGGCTTCTTGTAATTTATATTGTAAAGTTTTCTTGGCTTTTTTGCTTCATCTGCCTTTCCTGCTATGGGAAGTGCAAATTTGTGCTTGCTTAATGAGTGTGCAATTGTATCCTTCAGTTACATTCATGTAGGCATATGGCAAAACCTTCTTGCTTTCCCTTTTAATTTATTCTTGCCTTTTGCTGCGCATGATGTATGGATTATAGTATTTCTTCCATTGAATATTCGTTCCCTTTTTTCTTTCAGTTTTCTGATGATTGTATGAGTGTTTTAATTGTTTTTTATGCAGGTGGTCTCTGTTAAAGTTATCCGCAACAAGCAAACTGGACAATCAGAGGGTTATGGATTTATTGAGTTTATTAGTCACGCGGCTGCAGAAAAGAACCTACAAGCATATAATGGCACCTTGATGCCTAATATTGAGCAACCCTTTAGGCTCAACTGGGCATCTCCCGGTTCGGGCGAAAAACGTTCAGATAATGGTCCTGAATACTCAATTTTTGTTGGAGACTTGGCAGCTGATGTAACTGATTATATGCTTCAGGAGACATTCAGGGCCAGCTACCCCTCAGTCAAGGGTGCCAAGGTTGTCACTGATAGGGTCACTGGGCGCACAAAGGGTTATGGGTTTGTTAAATTCGGGGATGAAAGTGAGCAATTGCGTGCTATGACTGAGATGAATGGGAAGTTCTGCTCCACTAGGCCAATGCGAATAGGTCCTGCAGCTAACAAGAATAGTGTAGCTGGTCAGGTGCAAGGTATGTTCCAATCTCGTTGTTACTTATGCTGGTCTACATGGATATCTTGTAGAGCTGTTAAGAACTGCATAGAGCCTGCAGTTGATTACTTATGCATTCCTAGGTTTTGAATCTTTGCTCTTGTAAATTTGGTCATTGTGTGCTTTGACAATTGAATTTTGATGGCTTGAGGATGATATTGGTTTAGTCTGGGGGCAAGTGATTGTTGTTTTGGCCTCACTTGGTTAAGACAGTACTGTTATGTTTGCTTTCATTCCTTGAAGATTAGCACCAGCTTACAACATCATTTCGTTACCATTAGTTAAAGACACACCCCTTGAAATATTAATTCTCATAAACCTCCGGTTGTCTCGAAGCAGGGTAAAAGGAAGGCTCTATCATTTTGGAGCCTGGAGCTTGTTTCAGCTGAAATGAGTACCTTTTAGGACGTGGTGTTGTGTAGGTCAGTTCATTTAAATGTGGTTAAATTTCCTTTACGTCGGATCCTCGTGGCATTATTTTTTGAATTTTCCAGTTTCTTTCCCTTTTCCATTATGCTTTTTATCAGATTATTTTATCTTTACTTATCAGCCATTTTATTCTTCATATCTTGTTAGCCTGCCACGAGCGACACGTTAATCTTCAGTTTTTCTCTAAGCTTTCCTCACAGTCTCACTTCCTAAATAAAGTTAACCTAGTCCTGTATCCCTCCATCTCTTAAATCTTTTTCACTTGCAATACTTATCAAAATCCATCCATCTCTTAAATCTTTTTCACTTGCAATACTTGTCACAATTATTTGTTGTTTACCTCCTGACCTCTTGTACAAAATATTGGCAACAGAGGAGTGGGATTTCCCCCTCACCATCATATGCTAATGCAGCCATAACATGTCCCTTTTGGTAAACCATACTTAACATGGTTCTTTCTGCTTGTGGCTGTGTATATTCCACATGTGGCTGCACGTAGTTTTATATTTCATTTTTCAGATTCTAGTCCAAAATTCTTTCTGTTTTTTTTCCTGAGGTTTGTATAGTTAGTTTTACCACTAATATGTTAAATCTTTTTTTTTCTTTTCCCTGATTGTTAGAGTGTGTAAAGAGTTTTAATAAATTAAGGGATTTTAAGGCTGGAGGAGTCTCTCCCACATTATCTCTCAATTGGTCCAATTTATATGATGGTGTTTGATGAGTATGAGTTTATAATGTTAACCTGACCTGTTCTTTCTCAAAAAATACTAATCTGACTTGCATATTTATATTAGTGATACTGAGATAATTTTAAGTAATGGTTGATAAGCGCCAAGCACTTTGGTTAAATGGTAAATTAGTAAAACACAGGATATGTGCTAGGCTCGCGTCATGAGCCCAACACCTGTTGAAAAGTATTTTCATTGATTAACTGCTCTTTCACTCTTTTGTATCTTTGACATTTTTCTTCACTTTTTTGGTACTTTGAACCTAATAAGAAATATGAATATTGATTTGATATTGCTTGCCAACCACTTAATACAGCTAAATATGTTTACTATGGAGTATGGAGTATGCATTATTGTTGGGGGCTAAGTTGGTTGGACTCTCCACTTCTAGTACTGCACCCGTGTTGACACGACGTGAGTGTGAGTGTGGGATTCGTACTGGATCTGGTTAACCAATTTTGGGTACATTGACCAAAATTGGCGGAGGAATTTGGGATAGATACAATGATTTTCTGAAATAAAAACAAAAGCTAGGGTGAAATTGATTAAAATGGAATACCCGGTATATACAAATTTCTATGTCAGCCCTTATCCTTTTATTTCCTTCTCAGATTCTCTTCTTGATCAATATTTTCTCTTTCTCAGAATACTTTGTAAGCTTTTCACATGATGTCATAATTTAGACACATTTTTGTAACTCTGTTTTTAGATATTTGAATTATCTTTAGTCGAAACCCCCACTCATACCCGTACCTGGATCCGTATCCCCCAATCCTAAAATTTAGAACATGAAGGGTCCGACCTCTAGTCTAGATCTACATCCAAATCTGTATCGGATACCCGCATCCGAGTCCGGGCAACTTGGGTTGGGGGTCCAATGAAAGCAAGTTTGCTTGAATATTCATATCTGATTTTTTTTTTGGAGAGAGGAGGGGGGGGGGGTGTTGCGACTCATATGATTTATTAAATAATATTACCTTCGATGATCCACATTTATGCATTATCAAAGGACAATAGCGATCAGGGTGGGCAGAGTTATCCGGTACCTGTACTGGTGGGAGGTAGTAGGTATCCGGTGAAATAGTCGAGGTGTGTGTAGGCTGGCCCGGGCACCTCCATCACCGGAGAAAATAGTGCCTCATGGGTCTTTTCTTATCTCTTGAATCGAACACTATAGTGTTCTTTTTAGATGCCAGGTGTAACTAATCCTTAAACTTCTTTGTATTGACCTAGCACAAAATGATCTAAATCTATTTGATTTTTTTGTCTGCTCTTAATGGTTTACTGTACACATGCTTGTACTTTTCTTTTTCCATTTCTTTCCCAAATCCTTAAACTTGTTTTTACTGACCTAGCACAAAATGATCTAATCTATTTGATTTTTTTGCCTGCTCTTAATGGTTTACTGTACACATGCGTGTAGTTTTCTTTTCCATTTCTTTCCGTTTTCTTGATAAACACTAGGAGTTCTTTTTTTTTTTTTGCAATGATAAAAAGTTAATCTGCTTTAGCCTCACCGATGCCTTTTTCATATGCAGCTTCTTATCAAAGTACCAATGGAACTCAAAATGAGGATGATCCTTCTAATACAACTGTCAGTACATTTATTTATGGATGTACTATAATTTTCTGTTGACTTCTGCTCATATTAGGTTGACATTGATTGCAGATATTTGTTGGGAATTTGGATTCCGATGTGACGGATGACCATCTAAGGCAGGTTTTCGGACATTATGGACAGCTGCTTCATGTGAAAATACCAGTAGGCAAACGTTGTGGTTTTGTTCAATTTGCTGACAGGTTAACTAATGTGCCTTCTGAAGGTTTGTATTTTAATTTAACTGCAACGGTAACTAACATGGGAAACCTTTGTTGTAATGGCAGAAGTTGTGCTGAGGAAGCTCTACGAGTATTGAATGGAACTCAGCTGGGTGGACAAAGTATCCGCCTTTCATGGGGTCGTAGTCCTTCCAACAAGCAGGTTAATATTGGCGCCTAAATGTTAATTTTTGGTTTCTGACTCTAATCTTAGTCCACAAATCTGAAATACATGATGTTTCATCTTCAGGTTGTGCAGCCTCAGGCTGACCCAAACCAGTGGAATGGTGGTGGTTATTATGGTTATACAGCTGGATATGATGCTGCCGCCGCCGCCGCCTATGGTTATGCTCAACCTGCTCAGGATCCAAATCTATATTATGCAGGCTATGCTGGGTACGGAAATTACCCTCCACAACAGCAGCAACCACAGGTTTTCCCAAACCCTCCAGCAACTTATTAGCTACAAGCTTAACTTGTAGTCTAACATAGACTCGAGGAATGAATTTTACGAGTGACCGATTATATACCTTAATAAACTCATTATATTTTGTGAATTTTATTTCTTTCCCCCAGTGCTGTCTGTTAAAAAAAGTGACAGAATTAAATTAATTTATAGTGGTAGTTCATTCACTACAGATACGTGTTTTTAATACTTGTTTCTATTCTAATGTGGCTATGCAGTGATGTGGTGATTGAAACGAGCAATTGATAGCTTCCTACCACGTGCAACGGCATAGAAAAGGGAAGCACGCGAAGTTTGCATCAGATATATTATAAGATCGCTACTGTAGGCTAGTCCTTGAAGATAGTGTTTACGGTTGTGTTCAACGTCACTTATTTTTCATTAGTTTATTTTTTTTCTTCTTTGATCTTTTTGGTTTGTTATCGCTAATATTTCTTTCATGTGTCCAATTTTGGTGCTTGGATATTTGTTGTTGTTGGCCAAGATTAATACTTCTATGGTATTGGCCGGTCAGGGGCTAAACGGTTATTATAATCTGCTGTGATTCATCTTTTAATTCATGTTTCTAAGTAATGGCTTTTGTTTGACCGTTCTGAGAAGCAAAATGAAGTCTTGTTCAGTTTTTATTGCTATTGCCGTTGGGAAGATGCCAGTGACATTAGTATAATTATCTCATAATTGAAGTCGAGCTCATTATTTAATCAAATTTAACAGCTTATTCATGTGCTGTTGCAAGGTCAGTGCAAGTCTAAAGACGGCCTTATGTTACTATGGAATCCCAGTTTTCGTAGGTGGCGATTGTACAAGACTTGGTTCTTGTTTTCTGAAAAATCATTGCACGTAGTTGGAATTGAAGAAGTTGTTGAGTTTATCTTTTGAATAAATGTCAATGAAGTCGTAAATAATTCCTGTATGCTTTCAGATAGTTGAACTTACATCAAAACAACCAAACTTGACAGAACATAGTTTCACCAAAATGGGGATTATCTTGTCCTCTCACAACAGTATATTGACTCTCATCTCAACCCTTGACCCCCTCTGAATCTTTTTGAAATTTCAAAACCAAAACCCCAGCCTTTCTTTCCACAATAAATACTCTTATGATCCTTCAGCTGAAATGAAGTCATTTGGCCCCATAAAATCTAGTACTATTTCTTAATATCAATCTCCTTTTTTGCTCTAAAAAATTGAAGCTTCTTTGAGTGGTAAGTCCGGAGCATACAAACCCAATTCTCTGCTTCAAAGATACGAGCAAGTAGACGTTTGCTCGTGTTGGATGTAAGCAATCACATACGTTGGTCGACCAATATATGTGGTCCTTACATTCAAGGCGAGTAAACGACTAGTTGGCTGTGCATTTGATTCAACTATTCACGTTGGTCTAGCTGTTTCAGATACGAGCAAATACATTTGCATCACCTTTCATGTAATGTGGCAGTTATACTCAGTTTTATTATGTTGTAGTTCATCTTCAATTCTATGTACGAGCATTTCTTTTTTCGAGTTAATCATTTGAGTTCAATGGTTGTGGAATGGAGACTTGGTATAATCTTTAAGAATGATAAGTTGTGCGTCGTTATTCGTTAATGTTACATTTAGGAGGCACAGACAGGTATTCATAATATCATTAGTATATCATTTACTGATAAAAGAAAATTAGTAAAAGAATAACCAATTCCCTCTTGATCTGCTAAAGTAGACAAGTAATACATGTGACGACATTACTTTATTATTGGACAAACTTGAAAACATTCACTACCGTGAACTTGTCATATAAGAAGAGCTTATTAGGTTGTCTTGTTAGAGTTGACTTAATGATTGTATCCTATTAGAGTTTTAAGTTATGTACACTCAACAGTATAAAAAAATTTCACACTATCATATTAAGTTGACCTAAAACGACAGATAAATCTTCATAGCAAACATGACATGGTAAATTGAAAAATAGAATAATAACATGCGATTTGCAATTACATTGAATTGATAGCGTAAAAAGTATTTATGTTGAAAAAGAAAATGTAACTACAACAAATACATGTTGAAAAAGAAAATGTATTTTCTTCATATAAAAGCGTTAAATGATAAGAATCCTAGAGCTAAACAAATCCATGAATGAGTGAAAATCTGTTCAGCCAGCAAAGACTGAAGTAAAGATGAATGAAAATCAAACATAATTGGAATATTCAGTATACCAGTTAACTCTTTTTCAGAACAAAAAGAAAAAGAGAGACCAAGTCAAAACATTGGAACATTACATGCAAAACTCTATTTTGCTTACAGAGTCACATATAAACTGTTTTCCTAGTTCTTATACTCAGTTTCGAGAATGGCTATTAGTTTGAGTTTCAAGATTTGCTGCATAATCAGATTTTTCAGTGTCTGCATCTTCTGGCTGTGGTGCGCATTGTGAAACTAACACAACTTCATCACTAGGATCAGTTGCTTGCTTCCTTTCATGTGATGATTCTTGATTTCCTACAGCCTTAACTTCAGTTCCAATATGAGTACTTTGCTGTAATTCCGCGATATTTGAAAAGCTTTGCTTTTCCATCATAAAGTCCGTCGATTCACTGATTGATTCTTGAGGCAAAACTTGATTGTCATCAGTAACCAGAACTTGATTGCGATCAGGATTTGGTTTCCCTTGTACAGATTCAACAGCTTGAGGCATGTCATCAACATAGTGTAGTTCAAAAGATGAACTTTTCACTTCATTATGGATTGGATCACTTGACTGGACTTTACTCTCTGCTGCTAGTGATTCTTGGGCAACAGAGTTAAGTTCAGAAAATGGAGGATTTTGGTGGGGTTGCAAATCTTGATTCCCTTGTCCAGTTTGTGACAACTCTTTCGGCTGAAGCTCCGGATTAACTATAGTAAGTTCTTGAGAAATGAAGTTGAGTTTCTTTAGTTCACACTGAACCAACTCTTTTGGTTGAGGTGAAATTCCAAGATTAGACTTGTTCTTCTCCACTTCAGGTTCAACCTGCTGTTGATGATCTACATCCGTTTCCTGAGACTTATCGACAACATTATTATGCTGAATCGATTCGTTTGAGCTGTTGAGATTAGCATAAACCAGAGTAACAGGCTGAATTATTGAGTCCGTAAGTTTATTCTGACGCCGTTTGATAGTTTCCTCACCAGCTTTTGGTTCCAATATGGATTCTGAAACTACACATTTACCTTGTTCTGCATTTAACTTGGGACTTTCTGATTGATTCGCGACTTCAAATACTTGCATTACCTCATCCTGTTCAACCATTCTAAGGTTTTCCAATATAGGTATATATTGGGATTGAGTTTTGAGTGTTTGGTCTGGATTAGCATGTTGATTAGTACGTACTAATGTAGCATTTGGCACTGGCTCAGAAAGTAAATCTTGTCCTGGAGACACATTCAACTGCTTTTCAAGCTGATTAGGCTTATCGGTACGATTATCTTGATCTTGAAGTTTTATAACTTGACTTCTGTGATACATTTTAACTTGTGGGGCAATGTCATTTGCTGCTGTAATGGGAGAAAATCGCCCCGGCTCAAAGACTAATCCGCGGAATGTGTTGGCACTGTTACCAATCTTTATAGAAAGGAAATAGCCTGCATCAAAACAACCATCAATAACACCAGAAATTATTTGCCCCAGCATGTTTTCACTAGTGCTATCTTTTTGGCTCACTTCAGCATGTTGTTGAGTTTTACTGTTTTCAGTTGCTGGTGTTGTTGGAGTTTGCAGCATCACTCTTTTAGCAAGACCTCCATCTTTTCGAGGACGACCACGCCTTCGCTTTACTGGAAGAATTGTTGGAGCAGTGAGGTGATCTTGTTTATTTTGATCATTCATTATGTGTAACTTGCTGCAAATCCTAACCTTAGTTTGCTTTTCAGGTACTTTCACACTGCAATATAGAGGGCACAATATTTTTCTATCAGGACTAGTATCACAAACACATGGACTAGGATAAAAGATTCAGACAGAACTGTGACAAAAACCTATGGGAAATGAGATGTCAATCCTTTGTTTATTGCTTCCTAAAAAGGCAGCCTGGTGCACTAAGTTCCCGCTATGCGCGGGGTCCGTGGAAGGGCCGGACTACAAGGGTCTATTATATGTAGCCTTATCCTACATTTCTGCAAGAGATTGTTTCCACGGCTCGAACCCGTGACCTCCTGGTCACATGGCAGCAAAATTTAGATGTTTATTGCTTCCTAAACATCTTAAAATTTCAAACTAACAAAATTATCTCTAAGTACAAGTTCCATTAATTTGCTTAGTTATCAAGTTTTCAGAAGTGGTGCATATTAGTTCATTTCAATGGAATCAGTCTATATCTAGCAAAACAAATCACAAGCAAACTAAAATTCATCCATACAAAGTTATATTCAAATTTATTGAAGCATTGGAGGTTTTGATTTGATATATACTCCATAATGTATTCCATTAGGTTAAATTATACATAATTTTTAAAAACTCAGAGGACCATCAATATATCATGCAAGATCACTTTTAGCCCACGCTCTAAACTATTTATATAACCGCAAAAGCGTATAACATATATTTCTTATATATAACATACAGAAGTGTGTGTGTATATATAATATATTTACATATTTTTGGCTATTATTTTGAGAGCATCTATAGAGTGTCATTTTCCTATACTCTACTCATACTCTATCCTATACATTAGGGACCATTTGAGTTAAGAGGATGTTTAGATTCGTTTTTAAGCTGGTCAAATCACCTTTTTGTATTGGTCGAAATCTGACCACAACGGTCAGGTCGGCCAACGTCCCGCTCACAGACGGCGAGGCATACGAGGTATGGAAAAGCGTCGGATCAAGTACACAGCAGGAGGTCTAGGACTATATATATAGGAGGGTAAAAAGCTCCTGGGGGGGGGGGGGGCGTCTTCTTCTTCTCTGGATCTTTCTCTCCATCTTTCTCTCATCTGTAATCATGAAAAACGAAAAGGAGAACAAAGTAGTCTCCAAGCAAATATGTGATATGTTCTCCCCCACTGATTAATGGGAGCGGTAATAGAAAGTTTCAATAAGATTGGTTACCTTCACCTCATCTGCATACTGTTCTTCCAATTAGCTTTGATCTGGAATTTATTATGTTTGACTAAGATTTACCCTCATCATTTTCATTGTTTGATGTTTTCAAAAAGGTTATAATATCTTTTGAGTCAAACAATTTGGCGTCGTCTGTGGGGATTTCTTAGTGAAATCTCCTAGTCTCTTCCAGATTAAAGACAAGGAACACGATTACCCACCAAAAAGAGCGCTAAGGCAAAGCCCTACCCGAGCATAGCAAAAGCGCAGCACAAAAAAGGAATGAGAGCTGAATACAGCACCAAATTTAGGAATGGCCCCATCAACCATAGAAACGCCAGACAAAATGAGCAACGTCACAGACCTACTCTCATTCACCGATCCATTGGATGGGGGGTAAGAGAAGCATCATTCTAACTTACCTTCTGCTCTCTGCTCAAGCGGGAACACAAGCGCCGCGCGGGCAAGCGAGCAAAGAAACATCTCAATCAGAGAATGGGAAACTACCACAAGGCAACCGGAACATCGCCCGCCGATGGTATCTCCGGGTCGAAAGGCAGGAGTCAGGCAAGGAAACCCCAATGCGGGCACAAAACGAACATAAGCGAAACGGCAACGTTTCGTACTTTCCGATATTACACTCTCCGATGCAAACAATATCTAGCGAACTGGGACTCTCCCAGAGGATGCCCGATTCTCCAAAAACTGGGACTGACGACGGGTTAACATTTTGATAAGTTCGAAATAACACCCTTTAAGGCCAAGGGCCTTCGCCAAAAAGAAGAGTTCGACCTCGATCGAACGACGACGGGTTAACATTTCAATAAGTTCGAAATAACACCCTTTAAGGCCAAGGGCCTTCGCCAAAAGAAGGGTTCGACCTTGATCGAACGACGACGGGTTAACATTTTGATAAGTTCGAAATAACACCCCTTAAGGCCAAGGGCTTTCGCCAAAAAGAAGGGTTCGACCTCGATCGAACGACGACGGGTTAACATTTCGATAAGGTCGAAATAACACCCTTTAAGGCCAAGGGCCTTCGCCAAAAAGAAGAGTTCTGCCTCGATCGAACGACGACGGGTTAACATTTCGATAAGTTTGAAATAACACCCTTTGAGGCCAAGGGCCTTCACCAAAAAGAAGGGTTCGACCTCAATCGAACGACGACGGGTTAACATTTCGATAATTTCGAAATAACACCCTTCAAGGCCAAGGGCCTTCGCCAAAAACAAGGGTTCGACCTCGATCGAACGACGACGGGTTAACATTTCGATAAGTTCGAAATAACACCCTTTAAGGCCAAGGGCCTTCGCCAAAAAGAAGGGTTCGACCTCGATCGAACAACGACGAGTTAACATTTGATAAGTTCGAAATAACACCCTTTAAGGACAAGGGCCTTCGCCAAAAAGAAGGGTTCGACCTCGATCGAACGATGACGGGTTAACATTTCGATAAGTTCGAAATAACACCCTTTAAGGCCAAGGGCCTTCGCCAAAAAGAAGGGTTCGACCTCGATCGAACGACGACGGGTTAACATTTCGATAAGTTCGAAATAACACCCTTTAAGGCCAAGGGCCTTCGCCAAAAAGAAGGGTTCGACCTTGATCGAACGACGACGGGTTAACATTTCGATAAGTTTGAAATGACACCCTTTAAGGCCAAGGGCCTTCGCCAAAAAGAAGAGTTCGACCTCGATCGAACGACGACGGGTTAACATTTTGATAAGTTCGCAATAACACCTTTTAAGGCCAAGGGCCTTCACCAAAAAGAAGGGTTCGACCTCGATCGAACGATGACGGGTTAACATTTTGATAAGTTCGAAATAACACCTTTTAAGGCCAAGGGCCTTCGCAAAAAAGAAGAGTTCAACCTCGATCGAATGACGACGGGTTAACATTTCGATGAATTCGAAATAACACCCTTTAAGGCCAAGGGCCTTCGCCAAAAAGAAGAATTCGACCTTGATCGAACAACGATGGGTTGATATTTCAACCAACGTTCGAAATCACTCCCTTAAGGCCACGAACCATCACCAAAAAGAACACTCGAAATATTCCTAAGGCCAAGGGCCATCGAAAAAAAAAAAGAAGAAGAAGAAGAGAGAGAGAGAGAGAGGACTGGGACTCGCCGTGCGGGAATCTATCTCACGCCAAAGTCACAGAACACGAAAACGAGGATAAAGTGCAAGGCAAATAACGGCGAAAAATTCTTCTTTATGCAAAGTCACCGCACAAACGGTCACAGATTACATAAGGCCCAAGTCAACAATAAAAGAGAAAAGAAGAGGAAAAGAACAACGACAACCGACAACTAATATAAAAAAAAACAAACAAACAGAAAACAGATCAAGATGACTATCTCTTTACTCAGCGTCATCATCGCCACCCTCTCCACTAAAACCTCCGGGAAATCCTCCTTCGGCGTCCGCGCCCTCATCAGCTTCTGGCATCGCGAGTCATATCAACAGTTGACGTGAGCCTCTTGCGCCTTCACCGCGCTTCTTCATATGCGGCCTCGGTCACATTGCCCGCCTCCCACAAACTCTTATATATATCCCGCTGGGCTTCAGCGTGGACCCAAAGCTCGTGCAAGTGGCGAGGAACGGCGGCAGAGGAAGACTCAAGTCGAGCCAATAGTTGCTCCTTTTCGGCCTCTAGAGCAGCGACCCGATCTCCCAAGATCAATGCTTCCCGGTCAATCTCGCTGATGCGTTCCTCAAGCCTCGCCTCCCTTAGCGTGGCCGTCGCCCTTTCCGATTCCTGCTCAGATTGGAGGACGCGGATAGTATCCTCCAAAGCCGCCGCCCTTTCCGAAGCTGAAGACCAGGCACTCACAATGCATTCCAACCCGGCCACCTTTCTCTCCATCTCGGCCAATTTTCCCACCCACTCCGCACTCATCGCCTCGACCTTGATCAAATTCTGATCCATCTCCGACTGCATCGATCTCAACTTCTCCTGAAGATACTCACACTCTGCAGCAACCCCTTTGCCCAACTCGAGCTCCTCGTCCTTTGCGCGAAGCTGCTCCTCGAGCGCACTCTTGCTGCGAATAGCCTGCATCAATTCCTGGTCCCTCTTCTCCAAGTCCTCACCGAGAGACCAATCACAAGGGTTCGCCTTCAGCCGCTCATGCATCTCACTGCACCTGTTGCGATAGCGCCGATACTTCTCCAGCATCTTCAAGAAAATCTTGGCCCGAATATTGGCCCTGCGAATACTCTCCACCTCCACCATATACGTCTGAAAAATGAGAAGATGGTTTAGAACCCTGTCATCAAGAAAAACGAGAGAAAAGCAACAGGGATAATGTAACGTACTCTTAAGCCCATAACGGCCACCTCGTCCATCAAATCAGCATCGGGAATGATCCGAAGGGCCGCATTCTCGGCCTCGGAGCACAGAATGTCGAACTGCGGCACCAAATCCTCCGTGTCCCCCAGAAGGTTGACATCCGAAGAAATCTCAAGAAAACGGGCCGGACCTCCCGCACGAACCACCGAGTGGGTAATGCCCTCCTCAAACATCCTAACATCATCAGGGTCAAGGTCCGACTCGGATTCGTAGTCGTCGACCACAACTCCCTTTCCTCTGTCAGCAGCTGAAGAAGAAGCACGACTGAGTGCGGAGGACGAGGGTACGTCCGAAACCACAACGGCGGCCCCAGGAATCTGACCCTCCGTCACGGCAGGATGCTGATCAACGACAATGGCAGGAATCTCTGATTGAGCAGATGCGACGACCAGCCGCGTCTCAACGGGGGGAACCGTATCAACACCCACCCCTCACCCCGTCAAAGGGGAGTCGTCCAGATGAATCACAGTTGGAGGCGCCGTCTCGAACTCCACTCGCCGCCTTTTGGACG